CGGAATCGACAAGTATAAAAGTAAAATACAATTTGTATCTATGACCGTGTTGTTTATATATAAAACCTGTTCGATATTCATTGCGTTATACTCGGATCGTGAAAAACTGTTACGAAATTTATAATCGTTCGCGAAGCATTTTCGGCGAAATTTTCAGAGCGATACAATGCGATCGATTTTAGTCACTTTTAGAAGCTTTGAAAAAACGTCCGAATCCTAATAATAAACTGTATCTTATTATTTGTTATAAGGTCTCGGGACTTGATGCATTCAAAACCTATAAAAAAAAAACTTAAAACGTCAAAATAGCTCTGAAAAAATTTAAAAAGCAAAAATAACAGAGTGCTCAGAGGTGTTTGAAATGTCCACCCCCCACCGCCTAACAATTAAATGCAACTGTCTAACACATTTTCACATCTAACACCATATTTTTATTTTATTTATTTTTTTTTTTTCGGTGCATTTTCAAGTCTTTTTAACCTTTTTTTTTCGTCGCTTTTTTGCGGATTTTAGGTGCATAAAGTGCCGGGCCCTATTTATTATACAGAATACTGTCGTACGGGGGTTTTTTTTTTTTTTTTTTTTCGGTTTTGACCGCGACATGGTGGCTCACGATACAAACGAATCGCATAACAAATATATTGCGNNNCTAACACATTTTCACATCTAACACCATATTTTTATTTTATTTATTTTTTTTTTTTTTTTTCGGTTTTGACCGCGACATGGTGGCTCACGATACAAACGAATCGCATAACAAATATATTGCGATCATATCATACCGTACGACCCGGCGGAAATTTCCGAAACGGTTTATAATTTATTCGCGTCGCGCGCTATTTAAAATTTATGCAAAATCGCCGACTTTAACGAAGTATTAACTATTGTTTAAAACGCGGTTTCGAACGGATCAAATATTAACCTGGCCCCGCGGTACGTCGCGCGCGTCGTACGAAAATATACGGGCGCGTGTGCCGACGCATAACGGTGTCCACGGGCGGAGCGCCCCCGCAGACGTTTAATAATTCAGAAAAATACACCGACGCCGCGCGTGTACGGGACAATAACACGCGCGTTTTACACGATTCGCATTTGAAAAGCGTCGCGGGACTCCGTGTTGTATTATAACGCGTGTTTATCGAGACTCTCAATAACGGGGCGGCGTATGCGCTCGTCGCTCTTTACGGACGCGGAAATAATACGCGCACGCGTGCACGACGATAATGCCGAGAGCAAAATACCGAGGGGGGGCAGGTGGGAGGGGGAGGGGAGGGCCTTTACTCCGCGCGTCTTTTAAAACGCAATTAGGCGCGTATACAAGTGGGCCGGAAGTTCGCCCGCCCCGCGGTTTATATACGATTAAGTGGCTTTCGGTAGTTTGTTTTTTCTCCGTCCGTTATCGCCCCGTCGTGGACCCCGACGGCGTTGCGGGGAAAACGCGTATCCGTTTTACCGTGACGTGTGATCTTTTGTCAGTCTGTTGACGGTCTTCCTAACAGCAGCACCCGGGCTTCGATTCCCGAGTGTAGCGTCTTTCGTTGAAAAAATGATAATGTTGTCTAAGCGGTACGTTTGAATGATTCATTTCCATTCTAGTTTCGCTAAAAATCGGAAATAAATTTAGAAAAACGGAATTATTGACGCATTAACGGTTTTCGATTCCGTAACATTTTTTTTTGTCGGTTTTAGTGCAGTTTTCGTCACCGTATAAAACCTCGAGAATTTCGTACGAGTTTTCTCGTCAAAATCGTTCTAATAGCCGTGGTATACGATCGGAAACATAAGCCTTCACGAACATTTGGAATACTGATATTAAAAAAATTGTCAAGAACACAACATTTTGATTTTGTAATAAAAAAAAAAAGGTCGGACTAGTAGAAATGCTTGATAATTTAAGTTTGGTTTCTTTATTAAATTGCATAAATGGCCAAAAAAGAAATAATAAAAAATTGAGTATTGTTTTGAATTTTTTTCATAAGAGAAATAAGTCTGAATGTAAGACAAAACGTGTTAAAAACAATAGTTATTTATTTTTTAATTACAAAAATATTTAATTTAAAGTATTGAAAAAATGTTTAATTAAACTCGATATTCTTAAACACCCACAATTTTGATTTTGTTATTACCCACGTTCGATTGGTGCTAATTTACAGCCAAATGTATGACTATAAACTATCAATTACCGTACACAACTATACACATACCATACACAACTATACGGGATATTCTAAATTAGTTTATAGTCGTATTAATGATATCCGGACAGATCTCAAAAATGTTGTCGACATATAACAAAATGTGTTACCGTGTGTACTTTACATATTATTATATAATGACCACTTACCGTTAAAACAACTGCGAATTACATTTAGCGAACCTACTAGGCGTTGATTTTTGAACGCTAGGCATTTATCGTCGGTATATCCACGTGAATTTGACCGAAAGAACAGCAGATAATGTAAAAAAGAATAAAACATGTTTTGATTTTTGATACGAAACGACGAGTGGTATAATTTCCGAAAAAAAAAAAAAAAAAAAAAAAANAAATCTTAACAAATCTTAACGTTTAAAATCGCAAAAGTATTCTTGGGTTTTGGACGAAAAAGACGGCCGGCGGTATCATTATTTTGCGTAGAATTACTTTGTACGGGTGTATTTTACTTTCGTCGTTTAAATTCGTTTAATCACGTTGCTATATGCAACGTGCACTCTCCAACACGCTTAAATGCGCGCGTAAATTGCACTTGCGGTTGTCGAGACTGTGTCCAGCAAAATGAAATATCGCCAAACGCTTACACAGTTATAATTCAACGTGCAGTTATCGAAAACTAGAATATCAACGTTGACGTCTAATCGAATTGAAACGACGCTGAACGATCATTGTCGGTACGGCAAGTCAGATTGTTGTGGACCAACCACGGTGGCATTCGCGCGCAATGTGGTGACAACACGGTGCGTGGTATTGGATTAATGGCAGTTTAAATACGCATGATTCCGTTTCTAATACGCGCACGAACACCCATTAATCACGCGAAATAAATAAATAATCGCCGTTTAACGTGTGCGTTTCCACGCCATTTGAACAAATACGATTGTTGTTTAAAAAAATTTTTACGGAAAATCGCGATGAGTTATTTATTATTGATAAATAAACCGAAAAAAATAACATTAGTTATTATTATTATCATTGTAGAGTATGCAGCAGCTTTTCTGTCGCGATTAATTTGTATCGAGTCGGTGAGCGAAATTGGTTGAAAATTTTAATCGAATTTTATGTTGCACTCGGTGGTTAAAAAGAATCCGAGCTCAACGTAAACGTTGTTTTTTTTTTTTTTTTTCAGTTCAAATGCTAGCCGTTCGTTTTTGAATTACGGAAAAAAAAAAAAAATTCCAATAAGTCCAAAAATATTTTTACTACAGTCAAACTAAAACTATCCCAAGATAATACTTGATGTACAGTTTGTCCGACTACTCAATAACAAAAGATGCCTACGAAATTATTGTAGTTTAAAAAATTAAAAATAGCTTGTGGAGTCACTCTGGTATTTTGATATTTTATATGTTTTGATGAAAATACCGAAGAATTCACATTTTTAAGAGCTCTTGACCAGTTTAGAATACAAACGTTTCAAAATAATTTATTAACCGGCCTACCAAAGAATTTAAAAATGAAATAACTTCAAATTTCAAAACATTCATGTTTAAATTAAAAAAATGTTTAATAAACATTATTCATGCTTTGCATTTTTATTCTCAGTATTAACAATCATATATCAATACACAATAATAAATAATTAAATATATCACTAATCACTACACATATATTACGATGTACGTAATTTGTACGTCATACAATGAAACGAAATATTCGTTATTAACTGAAAAGATTTATTATTATCGTTTTATAGCCCTCTCTGCGGAAAATTTGGTCACAACTGGCCTAATCGAATGTATGTTTCATTTTAAAAATAAAAACATATACAAAACATTGAACGTAAAATAACGGTTTTCGATTATCGGTGCCTCTTGAAATGTATTCCACCCGACTACTTTTTTAGTAAATCGGCGCCACTGATAGTGGGAAAAGGAAAAATCGTTAAGCAAAGTAAAGACAAATAAATTGGTGAACTAGAAAAAAAAATAAACTAAAAAATTGCTGCGGAGTCAATTTTTGTCAGTGATCACAAGAAAATACCTGCAGTCATATTTTCCAGATTTACCCGGAACAACGTCGCGATTAATATTTCGACAATACACTGGATGTCACTAGAATAATGATAACTTGGCATATTTCGATTTGAACCATTAATATTAAAAAATTAATAAATAATAATATAATAAAATAAATAAATAATACGTATTTTCCGTTTAACCGGGAGTAAACACGACACTGCAATTGTGTCACTAAGCCATTTGAATAAATACGATAACGACATTACGATAGCTTAGAACTATGATAGTTTATTTATCAATAAAATTAATGACATTAAAACATTACATTTTGAGTATTATTTTTCGATATTTGTGATAATTTTATTGTATTCATTACCGAAGTAGGTTATGTCATTTATGTCAAAATGTATTAAAATCAATAGTAACCTATTTTTTAGCCATACAAAAATGTAATTTAAAATATCAACAAATGTTTAACTAAACCCCAAACGGCATCGTTTTTTTTCGATTTATACCCACGTTTAACTGTGCTGCTTTAACGAACAAACGTTTATTGAACTATAAATTAGCCGAATTCCTTGAATTCAAAAATACTGTACACCACTATACGGGATATTCTAAATTGATTTATAGTCGTATTAATGATATCCGGACAGATCTCAACAAACTTGTCGACAATAACGAAATGTGTTACCGTGTGTACTTTACATATTATTATATAATAACCACTTACCGTTAAAACAACTGCGTATTACATTTAGTGAACGTACTAGGCGTTGAGTTTTGAACGCTAGAAATTTATCGTCGGTATATCCACGTGAATTTGACCAAAAGAACAACAGATAATGTAAAAAGGAAAAAAACATGTTTTGATTTTTGATACAACGAGAGGTATAATTTCCAAAAAAAAAAAAAAAACATCTTTTTGGTAGTTTAATGGATTTCGGAAAAATACAATGATAAATCTTAACATTTAATCACAAAATTATTCTTGGGTTTTGGACGAAAAAGACGGCCGAGGATATCATTATTTGCATAGAATTAATTTTTATTGGTGTATTTTATTTTCTTCGTTTACTTCCGTTTGCGGTGTAAATATTTAAAACTCGTGACAATGGTTTAGACAACATGCACATTGTTCTTCTACACTCCAACACGCCTTATACTTCTTATAACACATTAAAAATGATCTTCTATGAAGCCAACGATCACATGATCGTCGACAACATACACAATGACGATGGTTAATACTTTTCTTACATAATTTGTAACCCTTCTGACATCTTGGCAGTGGTTTCTTACCGAGGTGTTCGTAATGTGCACTTACAGCTGTCAAGGCTATTGTCAGTAAAATAAAATATAGCAAAAAGCATACATAATTGAAATTCATTATACAATTTGTACAACTGGAAAATCAATGTTATCAAAACAACGGCTTATTCGGTTGATTGTAGACGAACTGACTTGAAACGGAGTTGAATGGCTGTTGTCTGTGCGGCACGTTAGGTTATTTTAGACAAACTACGATGACGTTCACGCGCAATATGGTGTGGTATTGGATTGACGACAATTTTACTAAACACAATTCGTTTTCTATTACGTATACTGTATACACACACATTAATCACGCAAAATAAATAAATAATCGCCGTTTAACATTTGTGTTTTCCACTCAATTTTAATAAATACAATTTTTTTTTTAAAAAAACGTTTTCCGGAAAATGACAATAGATTATTTATCATTTATAAATAAACTAATAATAAATTTACACCATTCCTACGGTTGAGAAGGATAGCAGCTTTTCTGTCAAATTAAATTTGTATCTATTTGGCGACCAAAACCGGTTGAACATTTTAATCAACACGAATTTTTCGTTGCGCTTGGCGTTTAAAAAAAATATCTACAAATACAGATCTTTCTTGCTTCGTCCCTAACGATTGCCAAACCCGTTCTCACGTGTGAGGTTTACGGGGATTAATCCTCTCCCCACTGGTCGTGGTTATTCTAGATTAAGAACGTTGCGAGGGATCTATTGGTATTACTATGGTGCGTGTGTGTTTTTTGTGCCTGTAAATATATTTTCGAAAACAAATCTTGCTCCGATATATAGAGTATAGTACACTAGTGCCGATTCTGAAAGGAAATGTTCTCTAGTTGCATACGTATAGCGATTTTGTCTCTGTTTGCAAACAGACCATTATTATTGTCTTTAATCTCTGACTGATCTGAAAATTTAAATTGGAAAAAAAAAACTAGTATAATTGTATTTAGGTTAAATAAGTTAAAGTTAGGTAAATACGATCGAGTTACCGTCCATTAATAGTTGCACGAAACGATTTGATTTTAGTCTTTTTTCACCGACGTGTTTCTTCGTAGTGATAAACATCCCCACACGGTTACATACAATACGATATATTTTTAGATTCGAAACGTAGTAAGGAATGCCTCGGTATTACAATGATGTTCATCGTGTAGATTCGAAGTGTGGTGACGAGGGATATTTCGTTTTTACTATGGTGTATAGAGCATTGATATTGAAGTAGTAAATATATATTGAAACTGATCGCAGTATCCCACTAAAAAATACAGAAATATTCAATACAAATATTAAAAATTGCACTAAAAACAAATAATTTTTTTACAAAAATGAAAATAGTTGGCTTAATTCCTCGCATATTTATAAAGTTATAGCAGAACACGATCACTCAAAATTCACGGAGTGACTGAAAAAAAGATTATAACAGTCAGTTACATTTCACAAAACATATATTTTTTAATTGTATTGAATATCTATGAACTTAGAACTATGAAAATAAAAATATGATACCATTATTGTTTTTAAGGCTGGCAATATTATAGTACAATCTTATCTATAGGATTGTCGAGTGTCGAGAATAGCTAAAGTAGGTGTGTAAATTCAGTAAATTTATCAAAATTGCAATAAAATTGAAAAAATTGCAAAACATCGCACTTAAAAATTCTAGATCTGAATTCGTACTTACATGAAACGTATTTAAAACTCACTTAACAATAAATTGAAAAGGTAAAGAATAAGTTGCAAATGCAACAACATCCTTGCCCTAATGATGTGTGTTTTTTTTTTTTAGCAACTTGAAACGCAATATTCGATAATAACTGAAAAGATTTGTTATTATTTTTTTATCGCCCTCGCAACAAAAAGTTTGGTCACAACTGGCCTAGTTGAATGTATGCTTCATTATAAAAATAAAAACATGTACAAAACTTTGAACATATAACGGTTTTTGATTATCGGTGCCTCTTGAAATGTATTTCGCCCGACTACGTTTTTAGTAAATCGATGCCACTGACAGTAGGTAAAGAAAAAAGCAATAAGCAAAGGAAAGAAAAATAAATTGGTTGGTTAAAAAAATAAACAAATAAATTGCTGCGGAGTCCATTTTTGTCTGTAATCACAAGAAAATCCCTGCAGTCATATTTTCCAGATTTACCCGGAACAACGTCGCGGATTAATATTTCGACAATACGCTGGGCGGCACTAGAATAATGATATCTTAGCAGATTTCGATTTGAACCATTAATCAATTAAATAATTAATACGTATTATCCGTTTAACCGGGAGTAAACACGGCATTGAAATTGTGTCACTGGGCTATTTGAATATTTACGATAGCTTAATAATATGATAGTTTATTTATCAATAAAAATAACGGGCAATTTTTACATCAACTGTAACAAATTTATTTGATAATTTTTTTTTTAGTGGTCTAAACGCTACAGCAAATCGTGTATTAGTTTTATGATGATGTCATTATGTTTGTGTGGATGTGTTTCTCTTTGGCCGTCATACGGATATTTTATCTAATCCTAATGTAAAATTTTCAGGCGTTGCTATTTTATCAAACAATTTTATCCACATACTACCAAATAAAATACAATTACTTAAAATACTTTTAAAATTAAAGTGTCCATAAATGGCTTAAAATGGCTTAAATGTTTCGAACGTTTTAACACGTATGGAAAAACTAAGTATAAGTTTCTGTCAAAAATTCGATTCTCTACGAATATTTTTAACTGAATAACAACAAACAACAAACAAAATTAAAAAAGTTAAAAGTATTTATTTTATAAATTATGCCGACCTTTCCATGTTTTTTTTCTATTTTTCTATATTATTGAAAAACACTACATGGGAAATCGAAAATTAACTTTCGTACTCACCAGCTAGATTATAAATTATACGACAAACATTCATTGTTTTTTTCTATACGTTTTATTTAAATTCGGTTTTCAAATTCGTATAAATGCTCGATAATTGTATACTTTAGGTTTTTGTAAATTGGTCTTATTGTCCTTTTATAACATAAGATATCCGTATTCTCTAAATTGTTCATAAACGTTTGAACATTAGAGCTCTGATTTTGACGTATTTGGTATAAAAAAAAAAAAACATTACATTTTGAGTACTATTTTTCGATATTTTTAATAATTTTATTGTATCCATTACCGAAGTAAGTTTAAATTTATATGTATTAAAATTAGTAGTAACCTATTTTTTAGCCATACAAAAATGTAATTTAAAATATCAACAAATGTTTAACTAAACCCCCAACAGGTTCGTTTTTTGTACATCCCTACGAATTTTTTTTCGATTTATACCCACGTTTAACTGTGCTGCTTTAACGAACAAACGTTTATTGAACTATAAATTAGCCGAATTCCTTGAATTCAAAAATACCGTACACAACTATACGGGATATTCTAAATTGATTTATAGTCGTATTAATGATATCCGGACCGATCTCAACAATCTTGTCGGCAATAACGAAATGTGTTACCGTGTGTACTTTACATATTATTATATAATGACCACTTACCGTTAAAACAACAGCGTATTACATTTGGTGAACGTACTAGGCGTTGATTTTTGAACGCTAGAAATTTATCGTCGGTATATCCACGTGAATTTGACCAAGAGAACAACAGATAATGCAAAAAGGAAAAAACATGTGTTGATTTTTGATACGAAACGACGAGAGGTATAATTTCCAAAAAAAAAAAAACATCTTTTTGGTAGTTTAATGGATTTCGGGAAAATACAATGATAGATCTTAACATTTAATCACAAAATTATTCTTGGGTTTTGGACGAAAAAGACCGGCCGGGGATATCATTATTTGCATAGAATTAATTTTTATTGGTGTATTTTATTTTCGTCGTTTAATTTCGTTTGCATTGTAAATTTTTAAAGTTCGTGACAGTGCTTTAGACAACATGCACATTGGTCTTCTACGCTCCAACACCCCTTATGCTTCCCAGTACACATTAAAAATGCTCTTTTACGGTGCCAACGATCACATGATCGTCGACAACATAAACAATGATGATGATTAATACTTTTCTTACATAATTTGTAACCTTTCTGACATCTTGGCAGTGATCTCCCACTGAGGCTTTCGTAATGTGCACTTACAGTTGTTAAGGCTATGGTCAGTAAAATAAAATATAGCCAAAAGCATACATAATTGAAATTCATTATACAATTTGTACAACTGGAAAATCAATGTTATCAAACCAACGGCTTATTCGGTCGATTGTAGACGAACTGACTTGAAACGGAGTTGAATGGTTGTTGTCTGTGCGGCGAGTTAGGTTATTTTAGACAAACTACGATGGCTTTCACGCGGAATACGGCGACAATACGGTGTGTGGTATTGGATTGACGACAATGTTACTAAACATAATTCGGTTTCTATTACGTATACTGTATACACACACATTAATCACGCAAATTAAATTAATAATCGCCGTTCAACATGTGCATTTTCACACCGTTTAAATAAATACAATTTTTTTTTTTTTTTTTAAAACGTTTTCCGGAAAATCACAATAGATTATTAATCATTTATAAATAAACTATTAATAAATTTACACCATTCCTACGGTTGAGAAGGATAGCAGCTTTTCTGTCAAATTAAATTTGTACCTAGTTGGCGACCAAAACCGGTTGAACATTTTAATCAACACGAATTTTACGTTGCGCTTGGCGGTTAAAAAAAAAAAATGTACAAATACGAATGCAGATCTTTTTTTTTCGTCCCTAACAATTGCCCGACAAATAAAAAAATCATTGCCTTCAACTGCATTACGTTTTACTACTTGCTACTGGATTAAAATTATACGCACTCCGTGTAGAATTAGAAGATGTTTCTTAAAATTTGCAATATTCAATTAATAAGAATATTGAAATGCACTACAACAATCGAATAAAACAAAACAATAATTCGAGTTGTGATGTTAATGATGATGATAATAAAACGTTTTGTGTGAAATAAATAATAGCAAATATGAAACAGATTTAGTATTAACTTTTGTCACGTAGTAGGTACAGCCGGTAATTACAATTTATTTAATGAAGATTATCATTTACAGACATAGAAGGTCATTTATTCGTTTTCTATGGAATTTTTTAAAACAATTGGGAGTAACTCGAAAGGAAATTATTGTAGGTAAAACAGCAAATATCTTCGGAGCTCTGAAGCGTTACCGATTTTAATGTGTTTTATTTCTGTAACTTATGTATTCTACTAGTAATATTGCTTCGATCGAAAAATGACTAGACACTGCGATTTTTTTAAATTTACTATCTGTGGGCACTGATAGAGAAAGTCATTTTTTCATATTTAAAGTAGTTTCCGTAGTAATTGGAAAAATACGAAAACGACGAAAAACCACGATTTTTTTTTTTTTTAATTATAACGCAATGATTTTATTATTTAATGTAATTGTTAAGATTATATTTTTACTACTAAAAATCTTATTATACATATTCCAAGGAAAGCATATTTTCTGAAATAAAATTGTATCTCGTCAAAAGTCGTAGTTTGATTTTCCGTAATGATTTCCTAATAATTATGAAAAACCGGAAAAAAACCTGAGAACTACGGTAAAGTTTACAGCACTTAGGTTTTTGTTGTTATTCAGAAAATAATTATTGTAAAGATTTGTAGTATTAAAATATATTTTTATTGAACTTTTGTAAACGTGGTATTATTTTCAAAACATTTTAACTATTATTAAGTGAACTACCCTGAATCGAAAGGTTTCGACAATCGGATCAAAATTTCTTATAGAAAAGTTGTTCACATAAAACATATATTAACATAAGTGTAAAACCAATATACCGGGCGATTAATTTAAGTGGGTACACTCATTATCTCGGGAAGTATTACATTTTTTCAGAATTTGTTTTTTAGAACATTTAAGAAACACACAGCTCTACAATTTTATATTTATGTTATTTTTTGTCACCATTATATTTTCCTAGATTCCTCAGTTTCACTCAGAATCCAAAAACATAAAATGTTATGTTATAATTTATTTATAAACGGTAGAAAGCAATAGTAATTCATTTTTGTTTTACAAAAAGTTATAATTTAAATTTATCCTAAATATTTTATCTCTAGAAACATGTCTTCCTTCTAGAATATATTTTGTTTTTTACCCAAAATACTTACTTGAGCGGGCTAAATTAAATATCAATTCTTGATCGACTTCAAAAATAATCATAATTTTATGATATCTCACTTAATGTTAAAATATATGCTTGCTTTGTTCGCTAATTTTATTTAACACGGGTTTCGGAACGTAAATTTCACCAAACAACACAAAAAAAATTAAAATCACATAAGTCATTCACATTAGAAAAAGTTGACCGCAAAGGAAATAGATAATGGTAAAAAGAAAAATACTCTTATTTTGATATATTATCTACACGACGGTGAAATTGAAATGTAAATCTAAAATAAACGAACAATAAAAAAAAAAACTTATTTTTAATCTATAATTCGTTTAAAAACGTTTCAGAAGTTATTTCACGCAAATTCACGAGTGTTCTCAGGGTTATCTGAATGAAAATGTTTGACAAAAATGTCAATATTACCATCGAAATGTTATTGGTGTATTATATGTTCACCATTTCTTTTCGTTTGTTATGCACATTGCGTTTCACAGGCATAACGTTTATTTTTTTCGTTATAACATAATTTTAGTTTACAGTAGATACCCCTGAGTACGGTTATTTCGGTACAACGACCTTTACAACATGCCTCGGTCGCATTGTTTTCCACACAGTATACTTTATGCCGCATGCTTGGGGATGTAACACTGTGGATGGGCTCCCATTTTGCTGTTAAATTTGTTATCAATATGGACAGTAAAATAAAATCCAGAAAAACGAATATATAATTGATGTTCGTTGTAAAACTTGCAAAAACTCGAAAAACATCGTTACCGAATTAAACAGCTATTTCGGTCGTGTGCAGATAAATCTAGGTAAAACGATGTTGAATGGTTTTTTTGTCTGTATTATCTTTGTGGAGTTTGGCACGGTATCTTCGACGAACGATGATGGCCGTCGAGCGTTGATATTACAGTAATACACCGTATGGGTTACCCGACGGAACAATTCAAATTCCAATTTTCGGTTTATACGAAAACTATTAATCACTCGAAATGAATGAGTATTTGTCGTTTAATTAAAAGTAACCATAATTGTGCACAAGTGCTTTTCTAGACCATTTGAAATCGATAAAATCAAAATAAATGCCGGCTAGACTTTTATAATCACGATAATATTTACCATCCACGCCAAAATTATCCTAGGATAACCTCCAACGAAATTTTAGAGAGGTAAAAATATTCTAGGTTATATTTGACTCCCGTTAAACATACCCTATGTTTTTATAATGTCCACGATTGAGAAGGCTAAAGGGAATTATACGTGCTATCCTATGTGCTCTTACGTTTACGGTTTAACATTCATAGAGTGGGGTAAATAACTATATCCTTGGTTAATCTTAACCTTCCAGTAAAATTGTACGTTCTTCTTGTAACATTTTAAAAGTTTTTTATAAAAATCACAATACGCATAAATATGAGTGTTTAGCATAATGCAATCACATAAATTTCGACTTCAGTAGTCCATATATCAAAAATTTTAATTAGATCCATATCCAAATATGTTTACAAATTGCCATCTAAAAATGTATGTATTCGATTATCATTCATAACAAACCATAAAAAAAAAAAATTATATATGTATGCATTTAAAAATACAGTGTTACCAATCGTGATATAACATAATTATTCGATAATTATTTTCTGATTAATAGTCGGTTATCGGCACAATTTTAATTCATTCAATAAAACTGTCAATAAAAGTGATTTTTACAATAAGCAACTTTAAATTTTGGGAAAGTTGGACAAGTTTTTTTATCAACTAATATAACTATCCGAATTAATTTAATTTAATTTATTTCCTACCTTAAAAAATTATGAAAAATCACACGATTTGAAAAAACAATCATGAATTTACTCTCGAAATTTAAAATATAATATTTTTATTTTTAATGTAGATAAACAAAACATTATTATTGTCATTTGTAAACTTGACATTCGCCGATATAAAATATTTTATAATATTGTTTTTTTTTTTTTTTTATCATTTTCAACCGTTATCACCGAGACACTGTTTATACCGCGGTTGTACAAGCGCACTGTATACAACCGCGGTTCATATTAATATCGTCATAACGTGTATACCTTACTATTGTATGATAATAAAAACCATTGACTTTGTGCATATATGCAGTGTAAGATAATAGGCGTTGTGTAAACGAACGCCGGTGATCCTCGCGCGCTGACATCATAACGATGCGCGCCGCGTGTTACTAGATTAACGGTAATTTCGTTACGCGAATTTCGATTAATATTCCGTACGCGAAATATTATTAATCGCGCAGAAATAAATATAAGGGTTTGCCGTTTTACGAGAATTAAACGCGATACGTAAGTGCGATACCGAACGACTCTCATGGATACAATTACTGCACTGCGATAAATGTTTAACGGCGAATCGCGATAGCACGTGAACCGTTACCGTACGATATTAACAGGCGGTGTTTCCGCGTCGAATACAGCGTTCAAACAAGTTAGATTCTGAGCGCAACATAGGCAACGCAGTGGTTTTACAACCACGTGTTTATTGTTCATTCCGTCTATGGACAAAATATGTTCGACCGAAAATCCCTGTCCGTCTTCGAGGGTACTACGCGTTTTTTGAAAACGAAATTTTCGTCCGCGCGGTTTCTCGGCGAGAAGGTTCCGTATAAATGTACCGCATAAATAGCGCGCGTTCGAAACAGAGGGTGATTTTAGATTCTGAGCGGAACGAGGAATGTATCGGTTTTACAATGACGTTTATTATTATTATTGTTTTTTTTTTTCTTACTACGTCTACAAAAATTTTACCAGAAACTTTGCTCCGAAGTATCAAGCGTAGCACCTTTTCCGAAAAGGAATTTTTCTGGTGTGGTACTTTAAGGAGGACATTTTTTTTGATTTTCCAAACAGTTTTTATAATAGTTGGGGTAAAAACCGGGGAAATTTACTAAATATATCATTTTAAAATTGTAAATATCACGGTATTTCATTATAATATGTATATAACCAAACTCCGTTTAGAATCTACGTACGTTAAATTTCCCCTCTACCTTCCCAACTTCTTTCTTACAACAGTTACCCACCTATTATGCGAAGTACGTTTGCCTTTTTTATCGGTTAAGTTCACGTCATGTTACTCCTCCCGGTAAATTAATGCGCGGGCTAGCGCTATTTGTACAATAAATCCGATGGCGCAACTTGATAACAC